AATATAGCTTTAAAGTGTTGAGCCACATAACTTGCATGTATGTTTGTATGGATTAGGGATGTCAGGAATATAGATTTCTTTGGTACAATTATTTATCACAGTACTATGATTATCACAATTATTATGCCTTAATTGATTTCACAACACTATGGATGTGTAACATTACAAGTACACACCTTGTAGGTCTTTGAGGTATTAACAAACGTTCATTAATTAAGCAACGTAGTCTTCCTCCACAGCACTACTATAGCGAAGTGATTTGTACAGCATGTAAAAACCATTTATTTCACTCATTAACTTTGTTTATTTTATGTTATTTATTAGTGTTATTTAAGCCACTAACAACCTTGTTGCTATTTGCCGGCATTACGTGCGGTTATATATTCTTGGATTGGATTGGACATATACAGTACATTGCGGGAGTGGGCAGGAGTGTAATACACACGTTGCAGGTGGCAATGGTCAGAAATTCAGGAGGGGCAGGATGATGAAAACAGTCCCCCATAATATCGGGCCAATCGATACTATCAGCCAACCAATATTAGCAGAATTTAATATGCTAATATGTAAATGTATTATCGATAAGAATCATTATCGGTTTTTCCTCCAATAATTAAAACCTGATAATTCAGCACGGGTGAGATGATGAAAACAGTCCCCCATAATATTGGCCAATCAATACTATCATCCATCCATCCATTTTCATCCGCTTATCCGTTACCGGGTCGCAGGGGCAGCAGGAAGGTACCAACCGCCCTAACCGGGATTCGAACTTGCCCAGGAGGTGAACCCTGGGGTTCTACACCAATGACAGAGACATTGCCTCTGAGCCAAAGCGCCACTCAATACTATCAGACAACCAATATTAGCAGAATTGAATATGCTAATATGTAAATGTATTATCGGTAAGAATCATTATCGGTTTTTCCTCCAATAATGAAAACCTGATAATGCAATGCCTGGTCACCAGATGATGTGACCTAAGAATTGTTTTGAAGTGAAAGCAAAAGCGAAAGTGAAGTATTGTCATTGGGACACAGCACACCACTGCATACACGGTGTCCTCTGCCTTTAACCCGGGTGGCTGCACATATCAATTAAGTGTTTGGACAGTATCGGCAAGTATCGGATATCGACAAAAACTTAATATCGGACATCCCTAGTTCAATTATTTGTGGTCAAAGTAAAAAGCTTTTTCAGGGCAGAATATGTCACCGAGACCCACTGTAGCTCCAATAGATAGGTTTCTGTAAGTACCTACCCAGTGACTAGACTAAATTACTTCAAATCCAACCTTGACAAGTCTGCTCCTGAAACCTACAAGTAAAATCAGCCACAACAGTGACCACCACACAGGCGTGCCGTTGACTCAGTGTTCTGAGGAGTAGACATAACTATCAGGTATGTCAGTAAAATTGAGAGCGCCGCATCACTCAGACACTACACTTTACCCTACGTGACAGTCGGGGTGCTGTGAAAACATGTAATAAAGACTAAATGTCTACAACAGTGTCTGTGAAATGAGGCTACCCAGGAATTAACGCTGACTAAACAACAAGTGAGTCACCAATGACACAGTGACAGTGAGCTACAGTCAGTGATGTCGGCAGAAGAACAGAGCTGAGTCAAACTGCGTTTTCTACTAATGTTTTTCCCCCTGTTTAAAATAAAAGCATAGGGTTGGTACAGAGCAAAATAAAAAAAAAAACATCATATATAATGCACTTATTATTTTATATTATGTACTTTCATTTCTATGATTATTATATTGCAATTTATATAGAGGAGCAGATGGATGTGATCTTTTTCCAAAATAGAGGACAACAAACAAATGAAAAGAATGTAAATATTTTTTAAATATTTTTTAATATTCTTTATGTGCTGCCAGGTACCAAATTATCCTTGGCCCACTACTGTTCCTAGGTCTGGTGGTTGCAGACCCCTGGTTTAACTCGGGGGTCAAAACATTTGTCTCAATTAACTTTAATTTAGTTTTCATTTAATGCTTTCCTTAATACTGATGCTTTGCAATTTGTCATCATTAATGATCCCTTTAAAAGGTTACTGAACAGTTAACTAGAACTGTCTGAGAACTGATTACTGAGATACATTTTATTACTCTTTATAGCTTTATATTGCATGTTTATAGATATATTTTTGCTACAAAAATCAGTCTATAGCAGTGCATTAACAACATGTGGATCGAGGTAACAGGTATTATTGTGTAATGTTGTGGACAAGTACCAACCAAAATAAGGTGCTGATGGGTACAGGTAAATACCAGTCTTAGTTTTGATACTGTCCAGAATGTGTATTGGGTATCAAACCTGAAATATACCAAAATGCTATAGCCATATCAGTTAAATCACCTCTTTGGACCAATTTAAGCTGTAAGCAAATATCTTTGGGATGTCGGAAAACAAGGCTCTTCTGATGTCATGAGGTTGTTTTGTCAGAGCAAAGCCGCCAACAGAAAACATTATGCAACTGACTAACATCTTAATGGTACATTGTATATTCTGCAGAATGTTAAAACCAGACTTTGACCAGCGCAGCCTTAATGACTGGCTTATTGGTTTACCCAAGTGGCATTACCATGGCTATGGGATACAGTCATCACCTCCACGACCATTGGGGTTAGGTTTCTCCAATGACGGCAGGTGTCACAGTGTGTGTGTGTGTTTACATGTGCAGAGGGCCTCCTCATCCCACACGGGTCTGGACCCAGCTTGTTATGAGCAGATGGTCATAATTAGCAAAACACAGGAAGCGCAGCAGAAAAAGGGGGCGTTGGCTTTAAAGTGCTGGAGTAGCCAAGATTGATTACAGCGACCTGGATGGGGTAATCCTCTTTACAGAAAGCCACACTGAGGTAGTTTAATTCCTGCCGTCTCACCTATCTTGCAGTTTAAGCAAGTTTGTCTTTGGCCTCGTCTCTCTATTATTTATTCCAAGAACCACTCGTTTTACCCACATCATTCTAAAGAGGGCAGCAGTGAGAATAAAAATTTACAGTTTTTTAACTTCAAATTAAGGGATAATGCGAGTTGACACCCTACATTTCGCATTTCCTAGAAGACATACAAACTCTGTGATTCCCTTCTGGTCCTCTTGTCATTACGCCATGATAGTGGGTCCTGAAACTAGACGCGTCGAGAACCAACGGCCTAAAGCCGACCTAGACTAAATCACCTTCTTGAATTAAAAAGTTTGCCTTGTCCAAACAATAATTCTGTCATTCATTTTAAACGAGGTGGTATCGTAGCACTCTTAAAACAGTGTGCCAGTACTGTCATATTCTTTATTAGCACTAATATTACTTAAGTCAGGTATATAGAACATCTAAAAGCCGAACGGGTTGAGACAAAGCGTTCCAAAACATTAGCTGTAGATGATCGAAGCAAGAACCAGAAACAGGAAAATAAAACAAACATTAATAGACAGCTATTAACTTCAAAGTATAGCTTTTTTAATTTAAAGTATAAAAAATGTCATCAGAGGGGAAACAAAACTTAAAGTATAGCTTTTTTTAATTTAAAATATAAAAAATGTCATCAGAGGGGAAACACCTGGTCCAAAGGGGGGTTCGAGAGTTAAAGGACGGGCAAGGAAGAAAAGCTCTGTCTCCTCTACTTTTAAGACCTGTGCCACACATTCTTAAGAGCTGCTGTTTGGATGACCTAAGAGACCTGGGGTCAGAGAACTGGTGCAACTCAAGAGTTCTTTCATGCAGAAAATTCTGATTTAATGCAAAATGTCACCAAAGTAATTATGTAAGAACTGGGGTGATGTAATGCCCCAGTTTTTAAACCAAGGAAAAGTCTGGCTGCTCTACTTGGAATTAAAGCACCCTGGAGATAGTGCTGGTTGGCAAACCAACATAGAGGTTCTTGCAGTTATATAATCATGATGGAGGGGGGGGGGGGTTCAAAATGGTTTTGAGTTTTCTGAAGGGTAGATGTGGTTTTATTATGGCTGTTCTTACAATTTGTGTGTATTTTAAAAATACTTTTGAGAGTGTTTGCCTTTAACGACTGAGCAAAAAAAAAGGAAATCACAACTGTGACTACACAGAGGACCAATAGGACAACCAATAATTTATTTACAAGGAAAGTCTTCTTTGAATTGGCTAAATAACCAGAAGGCGAGTCCTTTTTTTGTAATGTGTGTTCAGCTATTGCCTATCTTAATAAACTAAGTCTAAATAACAGACCGGTATGTGTATTATCTTATTAAATATATAAATGTTTGACTTAATTAAATACGTAACTGTACATAACTACTTAGATAGGACGCCATAGCATTGTAGTTTGTGACGTCAGAACGTACAGAAGAACTAATTTAAAGAAGCTGTCACTAGCATTAGCTTCAGCAAACAACTGCTGAAAACAAACCTGAGAAACAAAAAAAAAAAAAAACACTGCACTCGTTTAAGTGACATTTTGAGGAAGTGGGACTCGCCTGTTTCTGACGTGTTCATTTCCTTTTCTTTCTTAAGTCCACATCAAGATAACCTTATTGCCCTATTATTATTATTTTTTTTCAAAAGACAACAACAAACTTTACACAATGACAAAGCAGCATCCCATAACCACACCTCGACTTTTAAACCACCCAAACAAGCAGGTACCTCTACAGGGAAATGGACATTTTTGAACCAGGCATTGACTACAAACTAGCGGCGTCACTGCGCACATACCCCACTTTAAAACTGTATTTTCAAATAAAAGAGGTGGGTTTTTAATGAAGTTACACATGAGTTACATTAAAATGAGTCCCGCTAAGTTTAAACGAGGCTCATTTTGCAATTTACAAGCTGTGTGGTGATACAACCAGCGACGCAAAATTAAAGTCATGGTCTAACGGGGTTTCGGCGAGCCGTGTAGGGGGTTGAGGAGAGGATGTGAGGAAAGAAGCAGGTGGCGCAAAACAAAAGGCGGTGCACGTTAACAGCAGCAGCGAGCCCCGCTGTGTAGCAGCAGTTGAAGGTGGAAACAAACCTGCGTGTGTAATGTCGGACAGGTCGTAGTTCCTGGCGCTGCGGGGGAACTCCTTCAGTTTGCGGTTGACCAAGTTGAGAGCCCCGCTGGAAGCAGCCTCCTCCAGAGCCTTTTCCACGCTCCGACTGGCCGCTACTGTGGCCGGCAGCTGGGCTCCATCCCCAGCAGCCATCAAACGCACGGATCTGCCTCCTCTTCTACTTTGTTTGAGGCGTCCACGCTGCGTTCATAGCCCGCAGATCCTCATACACTTCACACCGAGCTCCACGCCCAGGAACTTATGCGAAAGTAAAGCGGTTTAATCCCAGAGAAGGCGGAAATCCTAAAGAAACTGGTGAATGTCTGAGTGTGAGTTGTGATTGCCTCCTGTACACAACGGGACTGCTGTGTGCGTCGGCTTCGAGCTGTCAATCTTTCAGGAAGTGGCGTCAAGCTCCGGTATTTCTCAATAGTGTGACGGGAAGGCTTGCCCTTCTTTGAAAATAAAAGCATTTAATCATTTTGGTTAAATGTGACGATAAAGGTAAATGTACGTATACAAACCGTCACATATAGCAATATTTGTCAACTGGCCAACACATTACCATAACCTTTGTCCAAACAACAACCTAGAGAGAGAAGAAAGTGTGTTCTTCTGTGCTACAACAGTGCTTCCTAAAGTGGGGGCGGATCCCCCTAAGGGTGGAGAGCTATTGTAAAGGGGGCAGAGCACAACGTATACATTGTAGGTCAGAATCCCTAATACATTCCAGTATTATTTATTTAAGTAATATTAATATTTTTATTTAATTGTATTTCATTAGTTGTGTCACGAGGGGAGCGGGGCTAGGGTTGCTCTGTATTTGTTGAAATACAGTGCTTTGAGTTTTGACTTTGTAGGGTTGCTCTGATTTGTGGTTTTATTTACTTTGTTCAATGACAATGGCAGTTGTAGAAATACAGTGCTTTGAGTTTTGACTTTTGCTTACTTAGCATGACCTCAACATAACTTCCCCTAACTCCATAAACTCTGGAATTATTTAATAATAATTAACTCATCATTAATGCTGTTTTACCACTAAAATGTGAAGAAAACCAGGTTCGAGAGCTAGGTTTTTGTTTGACATTACGCGACTTTTAGTTTAGTAGTTACAACCGGAAGCGGAGCCGAGCTGCCTTTACGGAAGGGTGCAGCCAGTCTGGGGAAGCATTGAGTTTGTGGGCGTGGTTAAAGTGGGCGTATTTTGACTGGCATAGAGGAGGCGCGGTCTATATATTAGAATAACTTGACCCTTTAAAACAGCAGTAAGGGTAAAAAGAATAACGGAAAGTTGTGCTGAAAGAATGATGTAATTAATATAATGTTAGCCTTCAGTTGGTTTAGGAAGAAGAAATAAGCCTACAAAATAAATATAATTTTGTATAAGTAAAAGTCACTAAAATGACAACATAGTCAGTGAGAAAATATTTTTTAAAAATAAATAAAAATAATATTTTAACCGGAAAAAGAAAACAATTAATAATTAATTAATTTTAATAATAATTATTTTCATTTTACAAAAATAAAGCGTGGTTCATTATTATCCGTTATATATGTTTTTTTATGCATGCAATGGTATTGAACTTTTGCTGTTCCTTGGTTAACTTATATTTACTAACATAACCCATGTTAGTAAATATAATTAACCATCACCAAAATAGGACAAGCCGTAACCTTTTTTGGTGATGGTTAACTTATATTTACTAACTAACCCATTTTCATCTACATTTCATAAGTACCTTTCATCACAGAAGTCGTCCGAATTTTTAAAGAATTACATTTTTTGATTTTTATTTATTTATTTAGTTCCCGTCGTTTCCTCTACACCAACTCTTTGTCTGACTGGTACGCTTGAGGTGACAACAAGGCAACAAGAATTGACTCGTGACTTATTTGTCTTTGTTCTTCATTATAGTCATAAACACGAGCAAATCAAACGATGGCATAGTAAATAATGTGTAAAGAACACAATTTGCGTATGTGTGCACGCGTGCATTCATATATGTGCAAATGCAGCGTCATCAGGGCTGCCTTGTCTCCCATGAGATTCGCAACCCCTTATTCTTATTCCACCGTCCATTCAGGAACAGATGACTCCCACGGTGCACACGCGTGCACAAACACATTAAAGTGTGCGCACGCATTCCTTTTTTTATCCCTACTTTGTCTGTGACCCTAACTGTAAACTAATCATAACATACACAACATCAGTGATCGATAGCTCACCAGTGAATTCTGCACTCAACTGGGTTCAGACTGTACTCCCAGGAGAACCATGGGTTCTTACGAGGTCCGAGTATACACCAGTAACGTTACAACAGAAACACACGTTATAGTAGCAATACACACATCCATGTAGTGATTACTATTGTCTCCTCCTTCCCTTTAGCCCTTGCTTCCTCCCCCTCTAGCTCTCTCCCTCTCCAGCCTCCCATTGGACCATCTGTCAAATGTCCTGTCTGCCCAGTCCTCCAGCTGGGACCACAGTGAGAGGGTGTGCATGTGTGAGTGTTGAACTTTCACTATATATGCACTTGCAAAATCCATTAGCCGTCAGTGCTTAGCTCTTTTTACTGTGTTTGTGTGAGATTATAGTGAAAGTATAATAACACACCCCCTCTCCCCACTCCTCCTCCCTCCCCTCCTTGTGCTGATGCTGGGGTTCTGCTTACTCGGCTGTTTCTGGTGTCTCCTTTGTTTCTCTGTGTATTGCTATCTACGACGCCTTCAGACGCGTCGGAAAGGACGCTAAATCATACACGTTTTCCGTAGGTCGGGTGTGAATGGGTAATGCATAACAGTGAATGAATGCAGAAAATATATACAAATAAACTATATATACATATATATATTATAAAATTACACAAATAAATAATAGTTTTCAGGACAATTACCAGTAAGCCAAATTGGATCATTTTTTACGGTACAACTGATGAACTACCTCTCGCGGCCCAGTCTTAAATCATTGCTATAGAGCAAGCGTGGGCAAAGTTTTTGACCAAAAATTTGACAGAGGGCCGGGTCAGGAGCAGCTAGATGGAGCGTTCGTGTGAACGAAGATAAATCATCAGTAAAAGTCATGCATAAAGACTAAAATGCTAAAAATGCTTTTAGCTTTTTCTACGCCATCTATTGGTAAAATGGGGGATTGTAGGGACAAAGCAAAAATATATATAATGATAATATAAATTAATAATATAATTTGGACAAATTTGGCGGGACGGATTAAAAAGGTCAAAGGGGCCGCATCTGGCCCTCAGGCCATAGTTTGCCTGAGGGCCAACATACTGTATTACTTGTCTGAGAGATATCTGCAGGCCAGTGTGACCCTAGAGTCTTTTCCCACCAACATTTTTTGTTTTAGTGTTATACCCCACAGACAGAGTGACATCACAGTTTCTCACGCTCTTTGTCCATACCTCCTTCCTCTGAGGCCTCCCTCTTCCTCCTTCCCGAAGTCCTTCTGCATGTGCGCTGTAGCGACACTGATAGTATCCTGAAATGAGGGTCAAACACACAGACACTAATAACAGTTTCTCATCGGAGCCTTTATGAGAAATTGACTTCATCAATGTATTCGCAGGAATTGAAGAAAGATGCACATACATACAAGATCTCCAACAACAGTCTCTCTCTATATACTGTATCTCTTCAGTTTTGTAGCCACATTCTGCCACCTAGGGGTAGAGTAGTTAATTGTTCTATCTTTCAATGAAGCATAGACGAACAAGAGCAAATTATTTGCAATAAATAAATAATAGTTTTCACACTATACTAAGTAAAGATTTGATCATTTTCAGGCTATCATGGCTAGCTTACATGCAGAAGGTACTGGGTTCGAGTCCCAGAGGATTATTATTATTATTATTATTATTATTGTCATCATTTTTATTTTTATTATTGCAATTTTAGTCTTTTTTCTGATTGTATTTATTTCGATATTTTATATGGCCATTTAAGAAATAGGAAAAAATATTTTTACTTTATGTAATAGCTGTTTACACTGTACAATACTAATGTACAGTATTTATACTTTTTCAGAACTACTAGTAAAGGAATACTTTTTTCGGCGATGTCTGTTTTTTTATTGAACATGGGACACCGAGGGACCCTCCCGTGATATGATGTTGGCAGCACCGTCCCAGTATTATTTCCAGTACTGTGGTTCTGAAAATAATGGTAGAATATTAATTAGCAAACTCTACAATAATTTCTCAAAAAGTATAGCAGACTCCAAGTGTTTTCTACTTCTGAGGAGAAGGAAGCATTTTTTGTCTATTGTCATCTATAAACGACAAAAAATAGCTTTACATAACATTTTTTTACCAAGAGGCAGATGGTGGTTGGAGAACACGTGGAGAAGAAGCAGTGGCAAAATAGGGTGATTTTTTTAAGGTGGTGGTGGCAGTTGGAGTTGGGGAGAGGGGGTATTTGACAGTGACTAAAGAAGACAGGGAGGGAGAGGTCAGGGGAGAGAGTGAAAGAGTGAGTGACTGCTGAAAGGGCAGCATGGCCAAAGATTGCCTGGTATGCGAGTTAGACGTGACCAGCCCACCACCAGCTGTGTGTGTTGTCAAACACACACACACACACACACACTGGCTTATCGCTGGTCGCGACACACACCCCTGTGTTGGAGCCTGGTGCCATTAACGCTGCAGTGAAATAGAATGAGCTGCCAAAAATCACACTTTCTTATTTCCTGTTTTCATTCAACATTTTACACATTCTTTTTTTTTTTAAATATATTCGCCTTTAATTTGAGTTATTGAATTCTTTAATGAATTATCAGTTGTATTATTTTAAATTTATTTTTTCTTTTTATTCTCTGGAATTACATATCCAGTTCTGATAGATCCATTAAAACAGTTTATTTCTCTTTATTAATCAGTATATGTTGATATATGCACATATGTATTTAGATATATGTACTTAATTTTATATTTATTTATTTACATATACCTGTTATTTGGGGCGATGGCGTGAAGGTACAGAGGATTGCTTTTCAACTAGAAGGTCAGGAGTTCAATTCCTTAGTGCTCTGCTTCATGCTGATGCATCAGGAAACTCAACCCCAGGCTGGCAGTTGGGTTGGCAGTGAGTGAAAGGGTATGACAAATGTATGATAAAAATAAAGTGTACATAAAAGTGATCATCCCTCATAACAAATTAGTTTTGTTTTCAAAATAAAAGCACAACTAATATCACATTAGGGTTTTACTATATAACATTAAAAAAAAGTTTGCGTCATTCTGCATTTCGAAATGCAGAATTCGGAGAAGAAGTTTGCGCATTGGGTAAAGTCTGAAGCTGACTTGGGCATTTTGGAACACGTCAGCTAGCGTAGATTATGGGCGCACTGGTTCGCAAAATCCATGGTTCGGTTGGTATTACGGTTTCGTGTCGCGTTTTTTTGTTCGGTTCACACAAAACAATTTAATTTTACTATTTGTATAACCATATTATATATTAGCATTAGCCTTAGGTCCCTTTGAAATCAACACAAAAACAATGTTAACATGTTACAGTCACAGTCAGCAAACTTTCAGGACGTGTTTGCAAGGCTGCAACACGACTACAGATCCTGGAGCAATGGCGCCGATTCGGCTTTTAGTTAAGACAAATTCTGAGTTTTGGGCCGGAGAACTGTATACTCTTTGAATACAGGTCCCAGAGTGGAGAAAACTCCGGCTCTGCGTCTCTATGTGAACGGAGCAGTGTGCAACCATGCGGTCAATCCAGTCAGCTCCGCCTCTCTGTAACCTCTTAACCCATTCACCCATGATCAATGCCACAACAACAACAACAATGGTGAATGCCAATACTGCTGACCGTGCCAGGGGCTAATTTGGCTACTTGGTTTGCTACAGCTAATTATTCTACTACTGCTCCTCCGTCTTGAGCAGCAAAGGTCTACGCGGAACGTCATTTTTCCAGGGCTGACACAGCGTCACATACTGTACCTGCCTGGTATATGAACTACAGGGACTGGATTGTATTCAGCTGCTCAGTTTAAATTCTAAATACTGCTGCGCAGTAAAGTATTCAAAGTATTCTTGGTTGAACAACCTTTATGGTCTGATTGGAATATCTGACATGATGCTAAAATCGTTTGCCTCCCAATATATACACCGGACCCTTAGTGTTTTTTGCAAAGCAAATCTTGTGGAGTACCTCAGGGTTTCGTCTTGGGACCAATTCTTGGGACCCATTTTTTGGGCAGTGGTGGCTTGGTGGTTAAAGAAGCAAACTTGGGTCCAGAAGGATTCAGGTTCTAGTCCACAAGCTGCCAAGTCACCACTGAGGTGCTCTGTGCATGGCATGTGCTTAAAGCTGCCCACTGTTCACTTTGGTGATGGGTTAAAAGCAGAGGTCACATTTGGTTGTGTGCAGTTGTTTGCTGTGTCACAATGACAAGTAGTAAACTTTCCTTTACAATTCTACTTTTGCTCTACATTCTTCCATTGGGTCATATAATCAGGCAACACCAGGGCTCTAATCACCTCTATCCTAATGATATTTGACTGCTCTTTCAAAATTACGAATGCTCAGTCTGGCTAGCATGAAGAAACATTTTTATAAAAGACAACTTTTCGATGAACTCTGAAAACAGAAACCCCGGTTATTGACCTGAGAAAGCAGCCTTTCTGAAATCTAATTACAGCTTGGTGATTTAAAATGTTCTATGCAGACAAGCAAATGAAAACTAGATGTTGTCCTCTGGATATCTCATTCCTCTGGTCACCTATCAAAAGAGCTTATGATGGGTTTTCCTAGTTTAGAAATACTTCAAAACTCCGCAGCCTGGTTTTGTACTCTAAGCTGGAAATCATTTATTCAAGGACTTTGTTGCCTTCCTGCTTCCCAAAACGAATGTGCAAGGTTTTTCACTAAAACACGCCAAAGAGAACACCTCACTCCTCATTAAGTCACTCGGCAATAGTTGTCAGTACAATCTGGAATCCATTTTAAAATTGTTCTTACATTCGGCGCCCCAAACAGCCAAGCTCCAGCTGATATTTCCGACCTGTAGGAACTTCCTAACCTTGTGCGGAGCCCGAGGTCAATAGGTCAGGTGCTGTTCAAAGTGTCAAGGAGTCGTTTTAAAACCACAGGGGATCGGTCTTTAGAGCTGTCGCTCCAAGGCTGCAGTCTCTGCCTCTGTCTTGATGTAGTATTTGGGGTAGTTTTAGGCAAGCCTTTATATTTGTACATGTTATAGATGTGTGTATTTTCCATTTTTATTTCTATATTACCCACACACACCTCCCTGACTCCCAAAAACGTTCTTCCTTCTTGTTTCTTCCTGGGCCTCTATCTTATCTTATCTTCTTATCTTAGCCTAGCTTAGCTTAGCTAATTCTAACATGTATATTTAATTCAAAACTTTTCTATTTTATAAAGGATAGTTGCTTGGTAGGTGTAATTTTGGTTAAGATTCAAAAGAATATATTTAAATAATTGGTCGTTTTTTCAAAGACAGTCTGTCTGCGCAGTTCACATCTAACATGTTAAAGTACCCTTTAATTTGTTTGTTTCAGTGTTGTGTTTCTGAAATGAGAAACCGACTGTTTGTGTACATGTAAACAGTGTCTGACATTCTTGTCTGTCTGCGTATCTCAAGCTCGAATACATAAAAGTAATAACAAGCAGTGTTAATTTACTCGACCTACTCTTCGGGTCGCGGCAACGTAGCCAATTGCTGACCTGTTGCTGAGACGAGATATGCGCACTTTTGTTATTTAAATTAAAATTATTGGTTGTTAATTGTTGAGAACGCGAGGACAACGTAGTTTATTCTACTTCCGGGTTGGAGCACAGAACGCACACGGTACTCTCCAACGGCTGCGTATAAAATGGAGTGTATGCTGTCCTCGTGTGGTCAGATTTGGTATTGCAACACCAAACAAAGACATTACAAGTACAAAGACGCTGTTTCTCCATCCGACTGAATACATTGATCGGGCTCCTGTCTTTAAAAAAGATGGTTTTAAATAACACACTAGGTTAAATGCACCATTGTTAAAACAAATGACGTATGTCGGTGATAATTAAATGAAAAGTATCTATAGGGAAAAGATACCTAAATATATGACCCAGAATCTGGAAAAGAATAATTGTTGGCTATTTTAGCATGCTCTTTAATATAATATAACATACCATAGTAAAATATAATACGTAATTAAATATATATATACTTTTTAAATTCCAAGTTGTTTGCTGTAAAGTATTGGCCCTATATATTCATATACACACATTAATATACTGTACTTATATACTCTCTTAAATGGAGAACCCCATTTAGGAGATGAGAGAACTTCTTGTGTGTAAAGGGAAATGAAACCACTACTGGGTTGACCAGCAAGGCCTAAGGCTTGCATTATGACTCATAATACTTTTACAAAGGACATGAACACGTGTTCACAACTACATCTGATGAAACTGCAGTTGCTTTTGCTTAACAGCACATAGAACCAGTGAAGGGTTCAAATGTTTTCATAAGGTTTTTATATTTACTTTAAGTAAATTCAAATGATTGTTGAAATGGTACAGAAAGAATGATCCATTTACCTGTAGTACAGATCTCAGGGCCAAAACAATGAGAATCACCACTGCAACAGTGAAATGTTGAGCATTCGTTTTATTTAACTAATAATTGACCTCTGATATAACAGTTTAAGCACATTTAGTTAAGTTTACTTAAAAAAAAAAAAGTGTTGATGCAGATACTGTTACTATTTGAACATTTCTGAATCATGCAACAGATCCACTTACTGTTGCCCATTTCGATTTGAACTTTTATTATGAAAATGACAACCCCCTTCTGGGCAGCCCACTGATGAATTACAGTTGTGGAACATGCTCTGCAACACATGCAGCTGTACAGGACTGAAACTTGTGGTTCAGGTGCAGCCAATTCAACTGTAGGCAAACACTGTGGCAGCCAACAGAGCAAACGTCAGAGCACTCATTAAAGGAACAAACACATACAGCAAGAACAGAAGGAGAGCAAACAGCAAATGCCCAACAACAGCTTTATTAAAACACCACAATGATCATGGGAATGCCACAGAGGTTTAGACTGGGGATGGGCACGATGAGCAAAAAAGTTATGTCCGACATTTGCTATCAATCGATTATACAACTGCCCGCTTAGCCTCGATAAACTTTTGACCATTATCTATGGATTTTTCTCATTACATAGTCACAAGCAATACATTTTAATGGCAGGAAAACGTGGCACGAAGCTGCGAGTCGAGTGTTCAGTCAGGCTAGACCACAGACTCAAGACTTACATAACCGACTAATTGACTGATCGTGCCCATTCCTAGTTTAGACAAAAGAAAAACTGCATCATTGGGGAGGAGGAAAAATAATTGAAAACACACAAAATGAGCTTCTTTGAAGCCACTTTTAAAAAATACCCAGGTGAGTAAATGCGAGCTCAACCTTACACAACTCCTAACAGGTGTTCTAATCTAAGACAAGTAACCACTTGATGCAGACTTCGTCCTGAGATGGCACGACTTTGACAGCACTTCAGGTTATACGGTCTTCTGCTGGCCCTTCTTTCCGATCAGAGACTTGTGAATGTGAGGGATCACACCTGCGCAGAAACAAAAATCACATTTATGAATATTTTCCTCTCTTTTCCACATAGTCAACATTGTACCTCTTTTAGACTAGTCAAAACTATTATTCATTAAAGTCAATCAAGTCTACACTTTTCACAGTGAATACAGCACAACAGGTGTTGGATTTATCTCAAAACTATTATACAAGTTACACATTTTAATATTTTACACAACATCATTGGTGAAACCCAACAAGCATAACATTAAAGAAAATGGCTGTTTTAATATTCAAACTAAGGAAATGCGATGAATTAAATAAAACGTACCTCCTCCAGCAATAGTAGCTTTAATGAGTGAGTCCAACTCCTCATCTCCTCTGATGGCCAGCTGCAAGTGGCGAGGAGTGATACGCTTTACCTTCAGATCCTTTGAGGCGTTTCCTGCCAACTCCAGCACCTAAACGAAACGGATTTCAAACTTTTAACACGTTCCTCAAACCAGATGCTCAAACAGGTGGATATTGTTAAGAGAACAGCTGGGGAAAATGCGGTCACCGATACCTCAGCGGTGAGGTATTCAAGGATAGCGGCGCTGTATACCGCCGCGGTGGCTCCCACTCTGCCGTGGCTGGTGGTTCTTGACTTCAGATGTCTGTGGATACGACCCACGGGGAACTGTGGCGAAAACAGAAAGACGAAGCGGGCTTCAGAGCGGGGAAACAAAGGGTTGAGTGGTCCATCGGTAAGAGGCGGCCACCAGCGGAGTAACCTCTGGGCCAGTTATAGCTGTTAGCATGTGCTAGCAGCGCCCTGGTAACGAAATGAATGAACATAAGGAACAAACCTGCAGCCCTGCTCTCTGTGAGCGCGAAATAGCCTTGGTTTTGGTCTTTCCAGAGTCTTTTCCTGCTTTGCCACCAGCCTGGTACAAAATAACAAAATCAAACACATAAGCACACGACGGTCAAAAAAGGCCACACGGTACGCCATTATATTGACTACAGCGGCCAGTTTTTATAACATTACTGAAAGCGGTTATTGATAGCAAACAGAAAGCTAACAAGCTAAGCTAGGAGAGCGGGTAACATTAGCGGCTTAGAGTTCGGTAGTGAGCAAACAGTAGAAATATTCTAAAAATGCGAATACTGCATACCCTCACTTGGGCATAAACTTGATTCTACACGGAAAAAACACAAAATACGTACCATGTTTAATACTACTGGTCAATTTTAACGACAGCAACTCCAAAACAAACAAGATAATACCGCGCAAGAACTGCTAGCTTCGAATACGGAACCCGCCTCCCGCTCTAGATAATATATAGCACATTTTCATCCGGGACTTTGGGATCTGAACACCAGCCAATCGTGTTGCGCTATGTGTTTCCTGTTGTCGAGATTAGCCAATGAACGCAGATGTCTCACCGTGAGTGGAAAATACGCTTTTTTAAAATCAGTCATTATGGGTAATGTAGTTCTGACGTTGTGTCGTTTTGTTTAGTGTCTTTGTCCTCTCAACAACCCTTAACCTTTGACTGTAACGCTGCTCTCCTGACTGAAATAAACAACACAAACCTGTATTTAAGACTAGGTCGCTAAATATGTTTTGTCATTTTGAATAAAAAACTACCA